GAGAGAGAGAGAGAGAGAGAGAGAGAGAGAGAGAGAGAGAGAGCTTTCTTTCATTTTGTTTTGTTTTGGGTATAAGCTATCCAAGAATGTTCAACTACCAAACCAACCACAAGTTGTTTTTGTTAAAAACAACCAGCAAAGAGACATTGTGAAACAGTCAGGACTGGATTTTTTATTTGGTCTTACTTAAGATTTGGTATTAAAATGGTTTGTTTTTTAAGTCAAAGTAATACAGCTTAAGAATAATGTATGTGTTGATTCTGAAAATGGAAGGGATCTCTCACTAGCCTTGTGAAAGAGAAACATCTATTTACATACAAGTTTGGCAGGCATCGAAGCTGGCAAAGGTGTTGGCATGGAGCAAATACTTATCAGAAACTACATCTCTGAGTAGTTAATGAGTGTTTTGGTACATCTGATGTACCACCCAGTAAGTGAATCAGCAATTATTTTAATACTAGCAATGAATTTGTTACAGAAGGCATTTATTCATTGTGCATGCTGTTGTTGAGATGTTATTTTTCAAGGTCTCTCCTTATATGCTGTTTGATTAAATATTTATAAGGAATCTCTCTTCCCTGGCTTTGTTGGTGGGCCTCTCCAGTGTGTTCATGGGAAAACACCAGGTGTTTTAAGAGCATGATGGTTTTCATTGGGAAAGCAAACTGCACTAGACTTTGTCATCATTTCTGCCTCTTGGGGATCTGGAAGTGGTTTAGGAAATGTTTCTGGGTTTGGTGATGCTTGTGTAAGTCGGCCCTGTTCCTGAGCTTTCTTCCTGAGCTTGCTTTCTGTCGAACAACAGTGAATTCAGAATGGTTGGGGTTTCCCACAATCTTCTCTAATCGGAGATTTGTGAACTGCGGTATCTTTGCTTTTGTTTCTTCTGGGCTGATGTTTCATGTTTTAGTCTTTTCGATTAATGTGGAAACCTGGATGTTGTATCAGTAAGTCTGTAGCCGGCAGGGCCTCAGTGTACCTCACCTATCAGTGTTGAAGCTGCCCTGTGGGATCTCTGAGCCCCTCTGTTGAGGTGCCCCAAGTTATGCAAAGCCTTTCATTTTGATTCTTTATTCTTCCATCTCCTCTTTATTGTGAGCAGCCATTCAGTTTCTCCTTCCTGCCCAAGCCTGTCTAGGGGGGAGTGGGGAGAGGAAGAAGGTTTCTAAAGCCACAACAGCTGATTTTAAAACCCAGAATAAAAAAGGAAAATTTAGAGCAATTTACTGAATAAAGAGAGCAAATTGTTCCTGAAAGCTTAGCTTTGCTCAACGCCTGGACCCAATCCTATAGCTGACAGGGCAGCCCAGGGAACTGTCTAAATGAATCCCCAAGGGCAGTGTGCATGTTCTAGTTTGCAAAATCTAAGCGAATAAAAGCCCATTTCTTTCTTCCCTTCTCCTCATCTGAGTTTACTAATGCCGAACACTGGACTTTTAAAATGCTTAACCTCAGAGAGAAAATGGGTCCCAGAGTCAAGGATGATACAGGAACTATGTATGCACTATGGGGTAACTAGAGTTTGTGTTTATAACAACTTACTACATTCTTTGGTGTTTTTGAGACAGGATCTCACTGTGTAGCCCAGGCAGGTCTTGAACTGACAGCAAGCCTCCCGTTTCCATGTCCAGACTGCTGGGAATACAGGTATCACCACACCTGGCTAATTCATTTCATATAAAAAAAAATAAACCAGAACATGCTCAGAAATAAAGAAATGATAATTTCTCACAGAGCTGGAAATGCTATTTACCACGATTTGATCCCTTTACACATGGTATGCATGGAATTATCACACCGGACCTCAGAAATATGTGCAATCACTGTAAGTCAATCAAATAGTGTTTCATACTACTTAAGGAAAGATTGTCTCCTTCCAAATACCAGACTCACTTACAACTTAAATCTTCTCTGGCATTGTAACCACCATATCCTGTAACAGTGTGGTGATATTTTATTGTTGGGTTCTTTCTGGTTGCCAAATCGATGCAAGTAGAGCGTTCTCACTTACATTAAAGAAAGGAGGATACTGCGGTCCTATACTCTGCAGTCAAGGTGAGTTGGGTCTGCTTCATAGGGAGACTCATCACAAGGTACCTGGAGACACATCTCAGGCCTCCTAATGTTCAGAGATGCTTTGCTCAAGATCCTTTATCATTTCGATTTATGAAGGATAAACTAGGCTGTACTTAGTCTAAAAATACCACCATCATTCTTCCAAACCCACCAACTTTCCGAAAGCTTGTGGTCATGATCCTATGATCATTGATGAAACCAAATAGAATCGTGTCCCCTAATTCTTGGGGTTACAAAGAGTCTCCGAACAGTTTTCTGCTGCTTAATGCTGCTAATTTTACATGGTGCTAAGGACCCTCAACATTTTGTGGATGATTGAGGTGGTATGTAGTTTTTCTTTTCTTAATTGAATTTTTGTGCATTTCATAAATGTATTCTGATTGTATTTAGATCCCTTTCCCTGTCTTCTGCATTTCCCTTTAGTTTCCCCCACCAAATTTTCATATACTCTCTCTCTATATATATAGGCCTAGAGAGTCACATTTGTGTCTCCAGGTGTGGGTTTATCTACTGAAGCCTAGTCAACCTACCAAAAGTCTCATGCTTTAAAGAGACTGACTCTCCCCCTCCCAGCAGACATTGGTCGCCAATACTTCCTTGGGTAGGGTTGGGGTTTCTTACCCATTTCCCCATGTCTATGCTGGGATTTTGTCTGGTAGTTTTACTTTTTAAAAAGTATTATTTTATTTTTAATTATATATATATGTGTGTGTGTATGTGTGTGTGTGTGTGTGTGTGTGTGTGTATTGGGTTTATGCATGTAAATGTGGTGCCCATGGAGGTCAGAAGAGGTCCTCCTGGAGCTGGCATTACAGGAAGTTGTGAGCTGTCTGACATGGGTTCTGGGAACTGAACTCAGGGCCTCTGCAAGAGCTGCTGACTGTTTCCCCAGTCCCAATATGTGTTTTTGAGTTTTGTAGTAGACGTATAGAAAGACATTATTTTGTGAGAATATTGAATTTTGGAGGGGATATTTTTTAGTTAATTTTCCCTGCATTTTTAAACATTGCTTCTTAGCTTGCTTCCAAAGACAAATGAATACACTAATTTCTTATTCTTAGCTCATCAATAGTGAAATGCCAATCAAATGTAAATATAATCTGTATGTGCAGCCTTCTTTTGGCTCTGCATTTTGTGATACTAATGAGATGGTTCTGTAGATCTGCATTTTTGGGAACGTAAGGTCTTCATGAGAAGTAATCACATCGTTTGCCTTGGTGGGCATCACAGCTCTCCCAGTTTAGTACCAAAGGGATCTTAACGGTATTAGACTATGATGAGGAACTCTGACATCAGCTTACACATTGAAAGAAGTTGAGCCAAAAGAGGGGAAAAAACGTCTTGCAGAGAACCCAGAAGCTGTTCCAAGAGTGTAGTTACAAGCCATAATCGATTCAAGTCACATCTGTCTTGGAAGCAATAAATCCTGCTTAGGAGAATGTCAAAGGCAAACACATTGCTGCGTATGAAATTCCGCCTCCGAGGAATTCCAGTCTCCCAGTATAATGGGGGTGCCAGAAATGATTGGCAGGTCTGACAACCCATCTTAGAGAAAGCAGCATCTGAGGAGGGTACCTAAGGAGGCCCAGGCTGATGTATTCATGCCTTAAGTGCTTCTTTTAAAGGTGGGGGTGTCTGAATGTGACAGAGAGCATCTATTTGCATTTCATTGACTCTTCAGTCTGCAGGCCCCCAATTCAATGAAGTATCCTATTCAGATGGCTTGAAGCTTCCAGAGAGCTCTGGCTAAACCTGAAATGCCAACTCAGCCTCATAAGTGATTAGATTCATAACACCAAAGAGGAAATTCTTTCTGGGAAAGATTAATTCTTTTCCTTGAACTGTTTGACGCTGCATGCTAAAAGGGGCAGATTGCATCCAATTAAATCTCCCATTGGCAGCTCTGCCCCCCTCCCACCAAAGGCCTTGGGTCATTGTTTATTAAAGGAGAAGCTACTCTTGGGAAAATAGGAAGGTGGCTGGGTGGTTTGAAGTTCCTTTGACTGGTCAAGGGGTAGAGCACAGCTGAAGCAGGATCTATATTTTGCTGCCCAAGCAGATAGCTACCTCGATTAAAACTTGTCCTGAGGCTTGAAGGGGACTTATTTTAAGAGGGAATGTGCCAAGGGACATCCCCTTCCTGTAGGGCCTTGTCTAGGAATGAAGCAAGTATGCCTTTCAAAATAAAAGCAAACCACACCCCTGACTTCTGTAAGCAAGTTTGTACTTAAGGCCTGACCAAAACTGTTTTAGCTACTTTTCCGGTGCTATGATAAAACACCCTGACTAAGGCAACTTAAGAGAGAAGTTTCTTTCGACTGACAGGGATACCGTCTGTTAGTTTCCTGGCAGGCTTCTAAAATGGCAGCATAGCTCGCATTTTTTTTTTTTTTTCATTCTAATTCTAAGTTTATTCAACACAATTCCTTCATGCTACACAAAGTACAAACACAGCCTTATCTAAAATGCTACCAAGTTACAAAACTAAAAAAACAAATTTTAT